GATTGATGTCAATCAAACAAAAAATTAACCTAACCTGCATATTGTGTTTCAATTATACTTGTATATGCATGTATTATTGAATTAAGACTGATATCAATAAAATAAAAAATTTAAGTTTATTAGCCTAACCTGCATGTTGCCTATCAAGAGGGCAAAGAGAATGAGGCCTGAAATCGCTAGTGTAATTGAAAATATAGACTCTCCGGGATACGTGCTCGTTTGAAGCCCTTGGCTGAGAGTACTGTAACAAAAAGAAAAATATTATTAGACCGTAATGTCTTTTGCACAAGCGGCATTCATATCAGTCTCAGTCTCAGTCTCACTATCAGTCCGAGTCGAATATAACAAATCAGTTAACCTCAAATTCTGTAGGCCCCACCACAAGCAGTACAAGTACTTTGATACAAACTTATTTGACGAAACGATTCCCGAAGACAAAGCTTGCCCGAAAATCCCGAAATCAAACGGCGGATCATCTTCATCTGGCGTGCAAGCTTCGGTTAATACCGAGTTACTGATACTGCTCCAGTTGTTGTACCCTGGCACGTGGTTATTTCCACAATACAACAAATTTACATCATGACCACTTCTTTCACAAGCCATTTGCCAACATGTATCATTTCGCTCTACCGACAATATGTACCAAAAGGCCCCAACTATCTGTAGAAAAATAAACATAATTATTATTTTTTACTTAATCTAGCAAGCGTTTCTTTTTTACTACGTAATTATTTTTTTATTTTCATTTTCCAAAGTTTGCGAAGATTTTTTCATATATTTTTTAAACATTAGACAACACTTACGTGACTAGCGAGCATGTACAACAACAAATAATAAGCAGCACCAGCCCATGTAGTTTCAACAATGACACCCGCAGTCCTTTTTAATTCAGAAGTCAAAGGCACAATTCGTGCAAATCTTGGGATATATTGAAGTAACACAATAAAAAATAGCGATTGTTTTGTAGAGACTACATCTGCACCTCTAGACCCATGTAGATATTTCCAAATAATAATCTGCAAAGATGATCAAACACAAAACAATTCGATGTTTTAAGTTGTGAAATTGAGATAAGGTCATAAAATAGAAATGTACTTTTCAATATGTCCTATTTAGGTTGCCATGTACTATAAAAAAAGTATCTTTGAAAAGAACAAGTCAAAAAGTACATTGCTATTTTACGACCTTATATGCTAAGTTAACAACTTTTTAGCCAAATCTTAGCTTTATCTAATTCTAACCTGTGGTAGGGGCACGATAGCTAGAAAATCAATAATAAAATACCACTTCAAGTATCTTTTAGCTATTTGTGTAGGATCTATCACAAGTTCACCCCTTCCAAAAACTCGAGATGAAGGAGCAACGAAAGCAGTTCTAAATTGAAGAGCCATGTGAATAAGATAAAAAGAATCAACAAAGGTTCGAATCGTTGTAGCTATAATAGCTAAATTTTGGTCCATACCAAGGCAAGTTTTAGATTGATCAAAAACCGGAAGATAGAAAAAAAGTGGGTCCAATGATACGGCTAAAATACAAGAAACAACAAAGAATTTGTTCCATGTTAGAAGGAATTTATCTTGAGGGTCAAAGATTTTTTTCTCTGAGACTTTAAGATCTTCTGCAAATATAGCACGAGTTACACCGAGTTTAAGTGATTGGCCTATTGATTTAAGTCCTTTGAATCCATGTTTGTTTATGGCAAGTGAGGATGCGGGTGATGATGATGATCTTGAATCTAGATCATCTAACCTGTGAATATAGATGTAAATAGCAATGATGATCTTGAATTTGATTCGTAATATACTTGAGAAAAAAAGATTACCTCATGAAATGAGACTTTGAACTACATTTGAACATTTTTCCTAATGTTAACACATAAATCCAACTGTAGAACAAAAAAACAGTGTTAGGGAACTACTAGTATGCAGGGTTTGAATCCATTTAAGGATTTGTGTCTGATGTTTAAAAAATATCTGAAAAAGTGAGGAGATTGAATGGAATAATAAATGAGGGAATCTTGTAAAAAGTCAGTTGTTTCGTTTTTTACTTAATCCTGACAGAATCAAGTAAGAAGATCTGGTCGAATTTCAATAAAACAAGATGACTAATTTCTAATAAGAAACAGGGGAAAGAACAATGTGACGAAGATTTCAACAGTTATTACAGATTAATGTTGTTTAGTTGAATTTTCTTTGAAATTGATGAATAAATTTAGTATAAACGTCAATTTATTGATTTTGACCCACTTCGTTCGTTATCAAACTCGTTAAGATTCCGTACATTCACACAAGATCATTATGTTCGGGCTAATGCATGTCAATTAACTTCAAAAAGAAACGCGAAAGAAAAGATTCATCACAAAGTGAAACCCAAAACTAGAAACAAATCTGACCCAGATTATTTGTTTGAAAACTATCCAAATCAAAAACAGTAATCTGTTACATGAACATGTAAAGAGTAATAAGAAACATTAGTGGAAATTGAACTTACAGTTGAAAAAAGTTCGCCGGACTATAACATCGGCATCGTTGGAGTTAAATTCGGAGACGATTTAGAGAAGTTATGGTGCAAAAGAGGCGGAAAAAGCGATCGAGAAATCGGGGTCACAAAGAAATGGTGGAAAATATTTCCTCTTTTGGCAAGTGAGATGTATAAAGGAATCGAACTTCAGATTTAATTGTTTCGATTGACGTTGTATTGTTTTGAACCACCGCCCAAGTATGCTCTTTTTCAAGATTTTTTTTAATATTTCTATTATTTTAGTTATTAAATCAAGTAAGTTACAAAGATGGTCCATATGGTCTTTGAAAAGTTATAGATTTAGTCCAAATGTTTCAGTATTGTCATGTGTGTTGGGACTCTCTCTCTCTTACACCTCCCTCCCCTCCCAATTAGAGGAGACTAGAAACTAAAAAAAGAAGAGACACCATGGAATAATTTTTAAGCTTTCATTCTTGAATTCAAAACATGCAACTACATTCAAATAAATATGCTTCTAAACTTCATGCAACATATAAACAAGAGAAAAGAATGGAAATGTGACCTAGTGCACTAGTGAGAAACATGCTAATCAATATTAAAGAAACATGCATGCAAAATGAAAGAAAGGTAGGTTCTTAATAAAATGAAAAAAGCTATTCTTTAACTAAATAGAAGGAAACATGGCTAAAGAAAATAGGCTAAATAGGTTCGTATCAATACTCCTGCCCTAAAAATGGCCTTGTCCTCAAGGCCGAGATTGTATTGTGTGTTGAAGGTCCGCGGTTGTTTGGTTTCAGATTGAAGAAAGAGGAATTTGGTTGGGTTGCATTGGTGACCCGTTTGGTATTTTGTTGGGCAATTGTATCAAAGACCTTTGGACCTTCGTTTTTGCATCTCGGTGGGGTTTAACCGTTTGATTGGAAGTGTTGGGGGAGGTGGTGGAGGGGTGGGCAATAATGTTGGTTTCATTGGGGGAGGATAGAGGGAATCATTGGAAGAGGGAAGTTGAGCACAAAGTTGATCTTCGATTAGCTTCACGAGGCCATAAGTTTGGTGAGAGTTTGGGGACCATGAAGGGCAAGTTCGGTCTGAATCTCAGGGCTAAGCCTGGAGATGAAACAATCACGTAATGAGTGAAGAGGTAAATAGACAACACAAATACTGATCTTATCAAATTCTGATTGGTAGGTGGCAACCGTAGAGACTTGGCGGAGATTGATAAGTGTAGCTTGGTGGTTCTCGTAGGTAGAAGGGCCGAAGCAAGTTTCAAGAGTATGGGTAAATTCAACCCATGTGCCAAGGTGTTTGTTGTTGGAAATATGTTTGTACCAACTGAGGGCATCACCAGTGAAGTAAAAAACATAAAGGGCAAGTCGTTGATTTGGTGGGATAGCATAATAAATAAAGTAATTCTTCATTTGGAATACCCAATCAAGCCGGTTTGACTTGTCAAAGTTTGGGAGGTAGATTTCTGGTGGGCGTAATTGAGTATTAGGTGGTGGTGATGGCGGCGGCGCGGTGGTCGATTGTTGTTGTTGTTGGCTGCAAGGAGTTTGACAATGTTGTTAATGGTGTCAGATTGTGCAACGAGATACGTGGTGATGGTGTAGAGGCAGTGATTGGTGGTGGTGGATTAAAAACAACAATGGATCTTGAGGGCATCATTAGTGTTGCCGGAGGTGGTCTTAGGTTGTCGGATGTGGAGTTGGACTCGGTTTTTGGAGGCATTGAGATGAGGATGAAAGCACCAAATGATAGAAGGAGGCTAGTCATCCAAGAAACTAAGAAAAGAAGAGACATTGTTGAACAGTTTTTCTACTTTAATTCTTAAACTCAAACATGCGATTACATTAAAATAAATAGGCTTATTAACTTCATGAAACAAATAAATAGGAGAAACAAATGGGAACGTGACCTACTGCACTAGTGGGAAACGTGCTAATTAATATTAAAGAAATATACATGCAAAATGAAAGGTGGGTTCCTAATAAAATGTAACAAGGTACTCTTTGACTACATAAAAGGAAACATGGCTAAAGAAAATAGGATAAATAGTTCCGTATCTCTCTCTCTCTCTCTCTCCGTTTCTCTCTCTCCCTCCCCCTATCTCTCTCTCTCTCTCTCTCTATATATATATATATATATATATATATATATATATATATATATATATATATATATATATATAAAGAGTTTTACGGAAAAAAAAATTATTAATTTTTGGGTAAATTACACCGTTGGTCCCTCGTGCACATGCCAGAAAGCATGTTTAGTCCCTATTTCCAAAATTTAACTAGTGCAGTCCCTCGTTGTTATTTATCTTGCACGATTAGTCCCTATGCACGTTAACTGTTAAATTCTTCCGTTTAAGCTACCCACGTGCCTTGCACGCAGGGGCATTTTCGTCTTTTCAGGGTTTGTATACATGAACCAGTATGGCGCGACTTCGATAACCGATCATTCTCATTTCATCCTCCGTCGATCCTTAGCATTGCACGAGAAAACCCTAGTTTTCTACGATGGTGAACTGGAGGATTAGGCAAGAATGGGAGGAATACGATCTCCAAAGCTCATACGGTAAAATTTTATACATTTTCAGTTGATCATCCATTATACGTTCCTAAAACGTAATTTTTTTTTGGGTTCGCAGCTGACAATCCATGTATGTTCTCGATACGATTGAACTATGGTGGAGTTTTTACGAAGTTTCCAGGCCGCAAATACATAAAGGGGAAGATGAAATATATTGATGGCATTGATAGTGACTTGTTCTCGGTGCATGATATGGACGAGATAATGGAATTGCTTGATTGTGTGGAACCAGGTAAAAGTATTTATTATCATTTCAAACGACCAACCTGGGATTTAGATTTTGGGTTGTATGCTTTGGGTTGTGACGAAGATATAAACCACTTTAGGTCATACGTGTATGAACACAAGGTGATAGAAGTGTATACAGAGTTTTGGGAAACCAAGCTGCATACGTATCAAATGTCCCCAAACCCTGCAAAGATAAAGATACACGAAATTCCTGAGTCCCTTTGTCGTAAAAGCTTGTTATTGACATGGTCAAATTCAGGGGATTGTCCTAGTGAAGAAGCCCCTGTTTTTGAGAATGTAGAAACTATGGACGAACCCCCTAGTACATTACTTGAAACAACCTTGGAACAACCCCTTGTTACATTGAGTGAAACAGTTGAGTCAACCCCTGCCTATATACCAAGAATTGAAAGCCCTTTGACTGAACCAATGATAGGAAGCACATGTCCTAATGTTGATGGTTGGGATGATACATTTGAATGGTGTGAACCTTTTGGTGGGACTCCTATGGAACAAGATGAACCAAATAGTGAAAAAGCAGGTGAAGACAGTCAAGCTAGTAAAGACAGTCATGATAGTGATGACACTGAAGATAGTGAATACAGTCAAGATAGTGATTACATAGTTGATGAAGATAATTTGTTAGATGATACAGAGGTTGATATGAAGAACTTTCACCTCAACATTGACAAAGAGGTGGAGTGGGTTGGAAGTTTTCCTGATGATCGAGATGAAGCAGTAGAAGGTGATGAAGAATTAGAGGTTATAAACACTGAAGAATTTGTATCTGCATCTTCATCAGATGAGGGTGAAGCTAGTAAAAAAAGGAAGAAGATAAGAGATTTACGAAGAGCACATAAGAATGAAGCAGCTGCTGTCAAAGATCCATTTTACATCCACCAGACTTTTAGCACAGCTAAGGAAGTTAAACAACAAATAAGTGAATATACCATCTAATATTCACAAGTGAATATACTCTGTAATATTAACATGTGATATACCATGTAATACTATGTAATATTCACATATGAAATATCATTTAATACTAATAAGTGAATATATCATCTAATATTCATAAGTGAATATACTCTGTAATATTCACATGTAATATACTATGTAATACTATGTAATACTATGTAATACTATGTAATATTCACATATGAAATATCATTTAATACTAATAAGTGAATATACCATCTAATATTCACAAGTGAATATACTATGTTAATATTCACAAGTGAATTCATCGTCCAATATTAAAATATGAATATACTATGTTTATTATATGCTATATTCATATATGAATGATACTTAAATTGTAAAAAAAAATCATACTTTTTATTCATAAGTGAATAACGAATGTACTGTAATAAAACCTGATGCATTGTTATTCATTTATGAATAACGATAGCTGGAAATATAAAAAAAATAAATTTTTTATTTTATCTTAAAATTATATCAATATGGATGTCTATTTGTAGAGAATAAAAAATTATGAATTTTGGTATATTTAAAATCATTTTTTGATAAAAATAGCTTATAAAAATTAAAAAAAAAAACGAAAAAACTATGTTTTTGTATATATTAAGGTAATGATTAGCATAGTTTAAGGAAATATGTTATGTTGGAAAACACATGTGCATTCGTTTTCCATTTCCGCCGGTACGTTGGAGGCTTTTGCAGCAAAAATAAATGATTGACTGAGAATGATTCCCCCATTCTCAATTGAACCCTCCCACACATATATATATATATATATATATTATATATATATATATATATATATACATATATATATATATATATATATATATATATATATATATATATATATATATATATATATATATAGGGTAAATTACACCGTTGCTCCCTCGTGCACATGCCAGAAAGCATGTGTAGTCCCTATTTCCAAAATTTAACTCGTGCAGTCCCTCGTTGTTATTTATCTTGCATGGTTAGTCCCTATGCACGTTAACTGTTAAATCCTTCCGTTTAAGCTACCCACGTGCCTTGCACGCAGGGGCATTTTCGTCTTTTTAGGGTTTGTGTCCATATTTAATGCCGTTACACCTTAAATCTTATAAAGAACACTGCAACCCTCTTTTCCTCTGCTATCCTCTCGTTCGTCTCTTCCCCTCGTTCGATCGATTTCTTCCAAATACATAACAATGATCGATATTAAATGCAATTGTGGAGCCACTGCAGTGATTCGCACATCTTATAGCAAAAGAAACCCTGGGAAACTCTATTATGCTTGTACAGTAAAGGTAAGGTTAATGATTTCAATTTCGTTCTTCGTCTTCTCTAATTTTGCCCTAATTCTTCATCTACTTTAATTGGTTCAGGGACCATTATGCAAGTTCATAGGATGGGTGAATGATTATGATCAGGACTGTGATTGTATGGCGTTTAGGATGAAACTTGAAGAACAAAATCGCAAATTGAAGCTTTACCTAGTTATTAGCTGGGTTTTTTTTGTTTCAGTCCTTATATATAAAGTGTAGGTTTAGTAATGAAGTTGTTAGTATTTTGGTATGTGTATTTTGTAATGTTATTTGTATTAACAAAAAAATTTCAATTTTAGTTACAATATATTGTGTAATCATAATGTGGTGTTATCAGTTGGTGTTCAAATTTAATGAAAATGTGGTATTTGCAACATATGCAATATACCATTCAATACATGTAGCATCCAATATAACAATTAAAAAGGACAAAAACTAAAATATCCAAGATAACCATTGACCATTAACATAAAGGGACATCCAAAATAACAACATAGTGTTATGGCATACAAATAGTTATCCTAGACAGCAACAAAGTATCAAAATACAAAACATAACAACAAAGTAATATGGCAATAAATGCCTAACAAAAACATAGTTATCCTTCATGATCATGATACCAAACTACAAATTCTCAAAGCATGGGGCTTTTTCCTTTGTTCCCAACTCCATTTTGTACACCACCACTGCTACCTGCTGCACCTTCTCCTGTTGTATTCCCTGCTGCACCTTCTCCTGTTCCATTCCCAGTCTGTGATTGTCCCTTGCAGGTCCTTCCATTATGGCCCACATTTCCACATTTTGTGCATGTTACAGATTTCCATTTTGTGGACACTCCATCATCTTCTGTTGCAGATCTTCTTCTCTTTTTTTTTGGTCTGCCAATAGGGACACGATACTTTGGTGGTATCAACTTGGTAGGACATGTGCTTTTTTCCCACAATAACCTCCCATTAATAGGTTCAACTTTGAAGACATACATTTCTTTCCAAGTCTTGAGCCAATAAGTTGGGTGTACCCATGTCTCAGGTATTCCAACATTTTCATTGTTGAGCCTCATATCCCATATAGCTGCTATACTATGTTTGCAGGGTATGCCTGTCAGTTCCCACCTATTACATGAACAAGTTTGTTGGTCCATATTAACCACATACTGATTAGTACCTTCACTTGTAACCTGGTACTTCCCATTGCCACAGAACACTGCCCTACACTGTACTGCCCTTTCTTTAATTTTTTCAAGGGTCTTAGTGGCTGTAGGAGTTAATGGGCCATTAGCTTTATCAATTTCTTTTTGAACCATGACAATTTTCCTCATGATATACTCCCTAATAAACTCCAAGCAACTGATAATTGGCTTATCACGACCCTTCACTATCTTGCTATTCAAACTCTCACACATATTATTCAACAAAGCATCACAATGTGCCCTCCCTAATAAAACACAACTGTATTAGATTATATTTAAAAATTATACACTTATAAACATAATATTATATACCTGAGAAGTGGGATCTGGACCAGTGCTTAGGTGGAATAGAATTAAGCCAGTCATATGCTTCACTGTTAAGTTTCTTTAGTTCTTCCATGGCACTGTTGAATTGTGGTATGGTGGTACATGTTGCACATTTCCAAAGACAATCCTTGAATTCCTTGCCCCTCCATTTACGTTTCATGTTCTCATGAAGATGCCTTAGGCAATATCTATGCTCTGCTGCTGGGAAAAGTTTCTCAAGTGCAGGCAATAACCCCTAAATCATCAAAAGAGTGAAGTTGCTTATTGAATTGTAAAACATGCATGTGAAAATGAATGGAGAACTTTATTTACCTTCTGTCTATCTGATATGAAAGTGAAGTTGGAGTTTGCATACAAACCAAGATCATCTCCTAAGTTAGTTAAAAACCAGGTCCATGAATTAAAGTTCTCTGCTTCAACAACTGCATATGCCAAAGGGTATGTGCAATTGTTCCCATCTAAACCCTGAATTATCATGTCAAACACAGTAATAAGCAAACAATTAACTATGGTCAAACATTAATCAAATACTAAAATATGATTATGCACATACCACTGCTGTCAGGATCATACCATGGTATGGACCCTTCATGAATGCACCATCAAGCCCTAGTAAATCTCTTTTCCCTGCTGCAAATCCACTTTTCAGTGGACCAAGACAAATGTATACTCGTTCAAATACCCTGGTCTCAGATGCATAACATGGTTCACTTTGCACTTGAAGTTTGACTGTGGTGTTTGGATTTCTACTCTGCACCTCCTGTAAGTAGTCTCTTAGACATGAGTACTGAGCAGCAAAATCTCCCCTAATTGATTCCAGGGCTTTCGTTTTGCCCTATGAACTTTCATGTCTGACAATCCAAGTTGGTATTTCTTCTCAAGCATCTCACGTAATGCTCTAAGTGGTATTTCTGGGTTTGCCTCCACTGTGTCAACAATCTGTTCAGAGAGAAACTTGTAGTTACATGCCCTAATTTTCCTTGTTTGAAGGCACGTATGTTGCTTTTCATAGGTCTTAACAGTCCAGTTAATGTTTTTTTTTCCACTTACTCACTAGTAGGACCCATGGGCATTTATGAATAGAACCATCTTTCACTTTCTTTTTCTTTTGACTTGGTCCCACTTTGTCATTACTTTTGCTGGTCCCACCTGTTTCTAATATCCCAAGGTTTGGTATTGTCCCTTTGCAAACCACTCTAATCCTATTTTTGTCATTCTTGACGAAGTCTAACTCCCTTCTACTCTGTATGGAATGAAGATAAATTTGTTGTTTAACTTCCTTGGCTGTGCTAAAAGTCTGGTGGATGTAAAATGGATCTTTGACAGCAGCTGCTTCATTCTTATGTGCTCTTCGTAAATCTCTTATCTTCTTCCTTTTTTTACTAGCTTCACCCTCATCTGATGAAGATGCAGATACAAATTCTTCAGTGTTTATAACCTCTAATTCTTCATCACCTTCTACTGCTTCATCTCGATCATCAGGAAAACTTCCAACCCACTCCACCTCTTTGTCAATGTTGAGGTGAAAGTTCTTCATATCAACCTCTGGATCATCTAACAAATTATCTTCATCAACTATGTAATCACTATCTTGACTGTATTCACTATCTTCAGTGTCATCACTATCATGACTGTCTTTACTAGCTTGACTGTCTTCACCTGCTTTTTCACTATTTGGTTCATCTTGTTCCATAGGAGTCCCACCAAAAGGTTCACACCATTCAAATGTATCATCCCAACCATCAACATTAGGACATGTGCTTCCTATCATTGGTTCAGTCAAAGGGCTTTCAATTCTTGGTATATAGGCAGGGGTTGACTCAACTGTTTCACTCAATGTAACAAGGGGTTGTTCCAAGGTTGTTTCAAGTAATGTACTAGGGGGTTCGTCCATAGTTTCTACATTCTCAAAAACAGGGGCTTCTTCACTAGGACAATCCCCTGAATTTGACCATGTCAATAACAAGCTTTTACGACAAAGGGACTCAGGAATTTCGTGTATCTTTATCTTTGCAGGGTTTGGGGACATTTGATACGTATGCAGCTTGGTTTCCCAAAACTCTGTATACACTTCTATCACCTTGTGTTCATACACGTATGACCTAAAGTGGTTTATATCTTCGTCACAACCCAAAGCATACAACCCAAAATCTAAATCCCAGGTTGGTCGTTTGAAATGATAATAAATACTTTTACCTGGTTCCACACAATCAAGCAATTCCATTATCTCGTCCATATCATGCACGAGAACAAGTCACTATCAATGCCATCAATATATTTCATCTTCCCCTTTATGTATTTGCGGCCTGGAAACTTCGTAAAAACTCCACCATAGTTCAATCGTATCGAGAACATACATGGATTGTCAGCTGCGAACCCAAAAAAAAAATTACGTTTTAGGAACGTATAATGGATGATCAACTGAAAATGTAAAATTTTACCGTATGAGCTTTGGAGATCGTATTCCTCCCATTCTTGCCTAATCCTCCAGTTCACCATCGTAGAAAACTAGGGTTTTCTCGTGCAATGCTAAGGATCGACGGAGGATGAAATGAGAATGATCGGTTATCGAAGTCGCGCCATACTGGTTCATGTATACAAACCCTGAAAAGACGAAAATGCCCCTGCGTGCAAGGCACGTGGGTAGCTTAAACGGAAGAATTTAACAGTTAACGTGCATAGGGACTAATCGTGCAAGATAAATAACAACGAGGGACTGCACTAGTTAAATTTTGGAAATAGGGACTAAACATGCTTTCTGGCATGTGCACGAGGGACCAACGGTGTAATTTACCCATATATATATATAATCTCCTAATAACCTGAACATTAAATCAATATAGTGAGTCAGGCTTTGAATCTAGTAAGTAAAGCTCAGTTAGAAATTATATGGGTATTATATAATGAGCAATCAATATATGTGCAAACTCATACTCCTTCAAAACTCAACAAACCATATATCTCAAATTTTTTTGGGTAAAACATAACATATGTCAAAGTAAACTATCGCTAACATTAAATCTCATATAAAAACATTATAAAGTAAAAAAAAACAATGTATAAAAATCAATGTATCTAATGGAACAAGTTTCCCAAACCCCCAATTCGACTACAACTCACCAAAAAACTCAATTTCATATTCTCATATAAGTTATTCAAGTCTTGTTGTTACGGCGAACTCCACGCGCATGCTTAAATCTTTCACCCAAATGGCCTCAATCCAATAAATGTTTGGGATTCCGCTTTACATAAGATAAACAAAAGCTAGGTCAAACAGCCATGCCAAGGGTTGGACTCTGACATAACTCTCTGATGCCTAAATTAGATTACGATTCTTAGTGTTGCCTTAATTCCAAGGAATGTATGTGCTCCTTATCTTACCTCCTCGGTTTTAATGCCTCTAGGGTATTTATAGGTTGCCCGTTGTTAGAAGAGCCCATATCCTTAACCGGTTCTTCGCCTATTATCCAGTCTTTAAGCAGGCATGATTCTTGTCCTTCCCTTGTTTATGTTATTTGTTTTGTAATATTTCTTTTACATGTTTCCTGGGATATGGTTATGATACTTGCGTATGATATATTCAAATATATATATTCATTCGAAGTGAGTTACAATGCCTATAACGCGGACCTGGTAAGTACTAGGCCGGTGATGGGTTTCCTCGAACTATTGGCCTGGCACACCATTAAGCCCCTAGTCTGAAGGGTAAAAGAAAATTGCTGAAATATTTTTGCCGTTCAGACTTGTAAATCCACATTGGGTACTAGAAAGTCCCTCGCATGCTATATATTAAATGATTGCGCCGACACACGTCATCTCTCTTGATATAATTAGATTGACCTTAATAATTGCTTTAACTGGTCCTTCTGATTATTTATCGGTTAAGCCTAATTTGTTCTGTTAGAAACTTCTTTGCATTGTGTTCCCTTTGACTTTCCTATCACTATGACTGGTATGGGTGATTACATGCCTGCAATTGCGTCCGAAGTGGACTGATGCATGCTGGAGGATACACTCATGAATATCATCTTTCTCCTATACTTGGTTTCCAAGTTCCACCTTTAGCTTTCATCTATTCTTGATGCCCTGCTTGGTATATGATTAGTTTCTATCTCCAACATCTTGTATGTAGGTTACAGTTACCCCTGTCTCGTTTCTTATTGGAAGTTCATTGCTACTATAAATTTCATCTTGTCTAGATATGTCCGAATGCAGTGTCAAAGATTGTTACTTTCGATGTTTTTTGTGTCGCTTATGAAAAACCACTTGATGTCTCCTTGTTTTGCTATTTTTACTGCTTGAAGAAGTATGGTGACTGGTTTTTTTATAGCATTCATCATTTTCCTCTTTCTCCAGATTTAGCTCACTCCAATGGTAAGTGGAAAAGTAGGTTCTGCTGGGTGGATATGCATAGCTTGTGTCTACCGTTTGTTCCTTGTTATGTTTCGCTTGGGGATGATTCTGTATCTTTGTCTGCCAATCTTCATGCGTTTTTTCCTTTATTTTCCCATTTCTATGTGAAGAGAGAATTTCTGCATGAAGTTGTACTTGCTCTGTGTCATATGAGCTTATTTTGGAAAGCCCATTGTTAACTACCAGTGTTATCCATATCTCATGCAGGTTTGTCGAACCTTTTTACTAGATTTAGCATATATATATATATATATATATATATATATATATATATATATATATATATATATATATATATATTGTTTTTTGGATAATCTCCTTATATAAATTGTAGGTATTTTCTCTATGCTCATTTATTATTGTAGATGGGATTAAATACTCCTTTCAGCTGATACCATATTTGGCCGGTGATATATCTCCAGAGTCCATTATAGTGGATGGTGTGGTTTTAGACTGAGATGTGGACCCGATGACTTCGACGTCCAAGTCGTCCGTTACTCTTTCGCGATTTGGGTCGAATGCTTTTTCTATTGATCAACTTTTGGACATATTTTGTCATTTGCTTGGTTTTTCACATGTTAGTTCTTATAGCTCTGTAGAAGTTGTGAACCTAGGAATTGTTTCTTCTGACTAGAAGCGTAGGCAAGTCTTCTCGCTTGATTAGTTTGAGCAAATTTTACATGAGATTTCCCATGTGGGACCTCGGTGCACCTCTCCTTTGTCTTTAGGTCATGCTGCCGTTAAGCCAGCTGTTATGTAAAAAATTTGTAGATGTTTTATGTGTTTACACCTATGTTGTAGGCTCTAAATTATTATTTCATTCCGCTAATGCCATTTCCCCGATTTTTATAGATGGGTGCCGTTCTTGTGTGTTGTTTGAGGAAGAGTTGGACGAAGCATGCCGGTTTATACCCCGTACTGAAAAAATCATCTCCACCCTACTTGGGCGAGATCTTAAGTTTTTTGATGGTTTTTCAACCTTAAAAGACCGATTTCTGGCTGCGAAGGTGAATTAACAGGTTGTCGAGGGTATGAAGTCTATAAGAGAAGAAATGCTCGTGAAGGCCGGGGAGATGTTTGCTGACCTGTTGATACGTCACCGAGATGCCATGACCAAGGTTACTTTGCTAGAAAATCAGAAAGTTCTTGTCCAAACAAATTATCAGCTCCTTAATAATTCATGATTGTGTGAATTATGCGTATCACTTATGCTCTCTGTCTTTAGGCAAGCATGAACTTGGTGTTCTTCTTGCGTCCCTAACCTATATATATATATATATATATATATATATATATATATATATATATATATATATATATATTTTTTTTTTGTGGCTGATCTTTTTGGGATATTGATATTTTTGGTGTGGTATGTCACCGTGTGTTATGAATGTTATTGATGATGTTTCCTCAGTTGTAGGAACTGCTAATTTGCTAGCGCACTTAGATAATTATAAGCTTGTTATGAATTGGATTATGGATCTACCAATACATTTTTTCCGCTCGGCAGATGTTAGATATTTGTTTGTCATGTCTCTAGCTGCGTTAGTGGTAGGTGTTATGAACAAGGAATATGTTCTTTGACTAAGCGAGTAGTTTGTGTGTGGCGTACATACAAGTGTAGACGGTTGACCGAGCTACATGTTTTGCAGAATAAATGAATTCTTAGGCTAAACGAGTAACCTGTGTTTGAGTAGCGATACCCAATTTATACACAAGTGTAGTTGGTGGACCGAGCTATAAGTTTTAAAAAAATACGTGTATCCTTAGGATAAGCAGGTAGCCTGTTTTTGAATAATGATACTCAATGTATACACAAGTATAGTCGGGGATCCGAGCAACATATTTTGAAGAATAAGTGTATTCTAAGGCTAGACGGGTAGCCTGTGTTGAGTAATGATACTCGATGTACACACAAGTGTGTTCGGTGAATCAAGGTACATGTTGTGAAGAATAAATGCATTCTTAGGTTAAGCAGGTAGTCTATTTTTGCGTAATGATACTCCATGTATACACGACAAATCGAACTACATATTTTGAAGAATAAGTGTATTCTTAGGCTAAGAGGGTAGCCTGTTTTTGAGTAATGATAATCCATGTATACAAAAGTATAGTTGGTGGACCGAGCTACATCCTTAATTAGTGTATTCTTAGGCTAAGCGGGTAGCCTATTTTTGAGTAATGATACTCGATGTATACACAAGTGTAGTCGGAGGACCAAGCTACATGATTTGAAGACTAAGTGTATTCTTAAGCTAAGTGAGTAGCTTGTTTTTGAGTAATGATACTCAATGTATACACAAGTGTAGTTCGGGGACTGAGCTACATGTTTTAAACAAGTGTATTCTTAGGGTAAGCAGGTAGCCTGTTTTTAAGTAATGATACTTGATGTATACATAAGTGTAACCAGCAGAACAAGCTACATGTTTTGAAGAATAAGTGTATTCTTAGGCTAAGCGGGTAGCCTGTTTTTGAGTAATGATACTCGACGTATACACAAGTGTATTCGGCGGGCTGAGCCATATGTTTTGAGGAATAATTGTATTCTTAGGCTAAGAAGGTAGCCTTTTTTGATTTGTCATAAAGTTGCTAAGCTTGTTGTGGTTTGTGATTTTGTCCACATGGTACATATAAGGTCTAATGATAACATCTTCTACTCAACTCATTCTTGTTCTAGCTGGTATACGTTTCCTTGCATAGTCAAACATAGAATTTTCTAAGGTTTTTGACATGCCACATTCTTGGTATTCTCTCACCTTCCATTATTTGTAGGATATACGATCCGTCCTTGTTTGCTTCATGTATTATGTATGGATGCTCCCA